TTTCTATCCCGTAGGTGTCGTAAGAGCCGACTAAGAGGCGAAACTACCCTGGACAACAGCACTGCAAAGAGAAGGAAAACTTGACACAAACCCCAACCAACCGTCTGCCCAGCATGGTATAGTCGGCTAAAACCTCCTTTCATAAAACAGGCCTATGTCCAGCAGTACCTTGCGAACCTTGGCACATAAGCAGCACGGATTGCGGACGTCGTGCTACAAGTTTCTGTGAATACAGCCAACCCTCGAGTTCGGCGGCCCAGACCGCACGTGTAGATATTTTGAAAAAAAATATTGTTATTTTTACAAAAGGTTGCCAAATCAATGGCTGGCCTTGAGGGTATACGTCTGTGTACCATACAATTGAAGGAAATACCTTCTACAGAAAAAAATATATTAGATGTAGCTAATGTATGTTAATATGTCTCAAAACAATCCTAACTTATATTCTGAATGCGAATGTAAGTCTGTTTGTTACTAGAACTACAAACATAAGCTTTATCTGCCGTACATCATGAAATTCACCCCTAAGTACACCAATACAAAAAAAATAACAGAAAATTACATCAGGTAACATTTATTCGAAAAACACATACATACTTTTGAAGGTTTGAAGATTTGATTATTAAAATCTATAAAAGGCGAGCTAATCCGCGGCCTTAACCTGGGTAATTACAATGTCTATGTAAGCTGGCACCCTCTACTTGGCAATAACACAAATGTATCTGTGGGCTGTGCTCGTGGCCATTGTCACTATTGCCAAGTCTGGCAACTTCCATTGTATTCATAATATTGCCAAATTTAAATGATCTAATAATTCTTTGTATTGATTTGATGTACTTACGTCAGACCGGTTTCATATATTTGTAGTTTATTTGCCCTTTCTTCTCATAAGGCTCAACAATTTGGAAACGGGCGGTTATAGATTGGCACAGGCATATAATGGATTATCTTAATTTTGGTTAATATTTGTCAAAACAGATTATTGGTGCTGTGTGTTGTATTGATCTATGACTTTAGTCTAATACGATTATTTTTTATATGAAATAAAAATATTTTGACTTTTAGTTTCGGAATATAGTCTGGGATCTGGGTATTGACGAGCCTGTTGGGCTAGTGGTTGATGACTTTGACTGCTAAGCCGGAGGTCATGGGTTCGATTCTCACCCAGAACAAATATTATGTGATGAGCACGATCATTTATTCCGTGTATGTATGTAATATATCTAAAAAATGTATGGTACAAGCCCTGCTTAGTTTGAAACTAGGTGGCGTTGTGTGTTAGATGTTCGTTTTTTTATTATTCTTTATATCGTATTAAATATCGATATATCGTTTGCTGCAGTATCGATATTTCGCATCTTATGGGGCATCCCTAGCAGTTCTAGGTCGAACACCTGTAAATTTAACTGAACTGATCGGAGAGTCCAAGCAGTCTTTTCATACAAATTCTTCAAATTGGTTATATTAGTTAGTTTAGTATAAAACAGTAATAATATTAAAGTATATCACCCACTTTAATCCGGTCTGGTTCCACTGATTTCAAGAACAATAAGAATTAAACAGTTATAAATGAAACAAAGTCTACTTGATTTTAATTTCGAATATATTTAATACCGTATACAGTTAGGTAGTACTCATTATTTTCTCAGTAATTAATGGTATCCAAATGGTATTAATTAAGACATTTTATTATAACATATGGTAGCTAGACTTATAAATGAACCTATTTACATTTATAATTACATACTGTTATAGACGACCCCAACACTAAGTACATTTGAATATTTTTTTAAAACTAAGCTCATTTCGTATCACCTTTTGACATAATTATTCCCGACACACAAAATAGGCTTTATATTTATATGTAAATTGAAATTAATAAAGCATCAATTCTTAAACTACTTTTAACAATACTAACAAAGAGCACTAAAAACCTAGCAGCAATGGCGGTTGATTTGCTCTCATTTTTTGAAGTCTGTTTTCAAAACTCATCATCAGATCTATATGAAATTTAAATGGGACTATTCGGCATAAAGTCCTTTCGAACAAAAAAGGGATTTGTAAAAATCTGTCTATATATAACAAAGTTACACAAAAAAAATATGAACATCCAAAATGGTAACGTCCTTTTTGAAGTTGGTTAAATAGAACCCAGTTGTAGGTTGTCTTAGCCATTTGTAGGTTGGTTAAAAGATTATAGTCCATGTATTTAAACATTACGTAATATAATACGACTGAGGACCAGTTAATGTTTAAGAGTTTGACATTTGTTTTCAATCAACACAAAGGTATAACTCGGCAACGGCAATATTATCATAAATGTTGTTATGAGAATTTCATCTCTTCGGAGCTCGTCACAGAAATCCAAGCGTGGGAAAGGAAGAACAGTTTACGTCCCTTTTATAAGTAGTTACTCAGCTAATGTGAACCAAAGAGGTGAAAAATAACAACGAAAGATACTTTTATTAAAATTTTATGATATAATTTACGAAGAAAATGACGATATTGTATTACTTTCGGAAATGGATACCGTAAGGTTGGGTTACATTAGCCAAGAGGTGTTACTTTGGCTTAAAATGTTTTAAAGTTTCAATCTTATTCCTCCCTTTTACAGAATATATCACAAATAAAAATGGTAAGTTATTGCATTCCTGCTTTTTAGATAATATGCATAAAATTATCGATATGACATTGAAACGATGATATCCGTACGTCATCACGCCTAAGATCGCACGCATCACGTCGTAAGAGCCGACTGAGGGAGCAAACTAGTGGAGAATTAAAACAATTTAACGCGACAAACTAATTGGTTTTGTTTCTGCTAACTTTACAGGACTTTTCACGATTATAATTTCTTTTTTTATAAAAAGCGTTATATAACTGAGCAAAGTACTTGATATCTTTTGGTGAAGTAGTCCCCTTAATAACAAAACGACATTAAGTAAAGTAGGTCCTTGCGCTAAACATAGTAGCGTGCACTATCGTTGTTAAGCGCAAGGAACAAGATTCGAATCAGAACGGATTCACGGAGTTTCAACAGAATACACGAATCGTTTTAAAGGTCGTGTGCGATTTACAGTCTTACACAAATATATTGCAATTCACAATTACAAGCGCTCGTTTTTGTAACATTGTGTTTCACCGACTAGTTTTAATTACAAATTAGGCCCACAAACGTATACACAATTCGGTGATGCGGTAATTAAAAAGAAAAACTAAGTTTTAAGCCATCTAAGTTTTTTACATGATTACTAACTGCCATAGACTACTTAAGCGAACTTTGATACTAGAGTCTGCGTGCTTAGAAGGCATTTGGAAAGTTCATTATCAATTTAGATGGAAAAATAGGTTGTAAATACATTGATTAGAAATGAGTAAGTACATACATACTATACACACACGTCTTTTAGCCCCGAAGGGTTGACAGAGGCGTGTTAAGAGCCGACGGGTTTAAATAGGTACATACTCTAGGTATTTACTTTTTTAAACTCCGCGTTCCTAATAAGTTATTATTTAGAAAGAAATACGTTGTATTTAATTTTATGTAGCCAAACAATTATAAAAATATATGAAATTAAGAAATTATAATTTAAAATGATGTCAGTATAATTTCATTGTGATTTAATAACCTCCTTGTTTAACAAATACATTACAACACTTGCGATAAGTTATAGGATAATTTAATATCACGATTAATTATAAACTTGAATTTGAAATAATCCTTTTTTATTATTTCTGTAAATGTGGAGTTATTACAAAACAATTAAGTTTTAATGACAAATACAGTGAAAAAACCTAATCAATGTTGATTTTTTTTAATTGAACTGTACATGCTTATTTTATAGGTAGTTTGTAAACTAATCAGAATCATAATTTACATAATAACTTATTTTATTTGGTCCAAAAAAATTTAACACCAGCACAAAACTATATTCGTCGATTATCTGTATCTATGGTCATAATGAACAAAAAAATTTAACGCTTAATCCGAGAATTCTTATGAAGCGTGACTACAAATCGATTAAGATTTTTTGTATAATAGCTGCAAGAAAACATGAAGCAAATAGGCATCCGATCAATTTTTCAAACAATTTTTGCAGTCTATTGACAAAGCGACAAAGGCCCCTAATTGAGACCTGTCGGCGCCGTTGTAGACATCCGAATGCAAATTAAAAGAACTTTCTTGCACTATTACCAATAATTACAGGCAATTTATGGATCCCCATTTTTAAAGATGACATTTAGTATGTTTAAACATGCATACGAAGGTATATAATCTATTCATTATTATACATAATTACAAGTTTCGAAGAATGAACAAGGCAGGTGGAAAAGATCCGTTGGGCAATTAAGGATAGTAAACAAAACTTAGTTGGTTTGCCAATTACAACATTCTCCTTCGCAACTGCATCAACATTTGTAAGCGTATACAGGCTTCTATTTATTTTACGACAGTTTAGCAAGGCACTAAAACAATATTGGCTCTTGTTCAAGCTATTATACCTACTCTGTGCAAATATAATATATGCTGGACATTGTTTTAATACCTATCTGATTATAATTAAGCTCGGCGCTTGCGTACGTTTTAACATTCGAATTTTCTTTAATAAGTACAAAACTAGTATTTACTTTATAGTATCTACATAATTATTAGCGAGTGTACGAATAGTTTGTGCATCGGGAGTAATGTGGTAACTATCAAGTGAACAACCTCTCGCTTTATTCTTTCCATACGTAACTGAATCATTCTCTTCTATAAAATAACACATTTAGTTTCCAAGGATCATAATTACATGGTTTAACCTACATGAGTCACACGAAGACGTAGGTAACACTTGTTTTTACGAAGCTCCGCTGCTGAGAAACACTTTCGAGCGCTTGCAAAAAACGCACTTTCACTTTCGCATCCCATTGCAAACCAAACATAACCTCGTTTTGACGTGGCCCGTCAAAATTTCGAAGATAAATCTGACCATTTAGCGGTTAGATAATCTATTAAGTTAGCTTTCCTCCGTCTCGACTAGAACCGGTAGACTCGTGTGCGCCGAGTGGGGCGAAGCCCTGCACGTGAACGCCGACATCCAAGATTCCACATCTCGTTCGGAACACATGAATTTCGCGGAAATTGTGTTATCGTAGCCTTTCTGTCGGACAATGAAGCCACTGTTCGACTCAGCTTGCTCTACAGCCGTGTTCCTTAAGTTCACCACTCCAATAGATTTCGATACCCTCTTCCTCGGATAGATGACAGCGAAATGCTCAAGAGATGTCCTGTACACTACAACTCTTACGTCCTGCCGCATCCCGCCGGGGCCCAGAAGCACTAAGAACCCCGATTTTATTTCACTTTCCCCAGCTTTCTTACTTAAACTTTGACCAAAATGTTCAGTGCGGTAAGAGCTCGGCATCACGTCTGTAGGCATTTCACTGTTTTGGTAACAGAGTGTCTTTCATAAAACAATTTGCAATGTTATTGTTGAAGAAGGCGCGAGTCGTCTGGAAAAGCGTACTCTCTCAACCCGCCGTGTAATAGGTACTAACGAACAATTTTCCGAGTGGGGTCTATATATAAGCTTCGAGAGCCGAAGGCGTTCGGATAACTTCGTTTGTGATCGTTACTTTGCATTCACTTTGAAGGTACTTAAGGCTCGGCAGACGATGTAAGCCGACCAAATTATGTACGCTGTGTGGTGTTTAAAATATTCCAGTTAGATGGTAACTTTTTATATTGTAGGGTTATTGGCTTGCTTGTGTGTCATCGGTTTTAGACTAGACATGAACCTTTATGACTGTATTGTTCTCACAACACTCGGTGCATTTGTAAACGATAATTTATTATAGACTGCTTCTAAGTCAATAATAAAATGTAATCGCCACGTAATATTATAGCAGTCGGTACCTACTTATATTCTAAAGTGTGTTTAATATTTTTATTAAAAACGCATTAAACAAATAAAACGATACAGTCAAATTAAAATTAATCTTAGCAAATTATGTAGCTGTAAAAACTGAGTAGGTACTTAGTAAGTAAACACAAAGAATTGTAGTAAGTAAATCTTCTTCTTCTTCTCAGCCGAAAGACGTCCACTGCTGGACGAAGGCCTCCCCCCAGTTTCTCCACAGACACCTGTCCTGCGCTGCCCGCATCCAACGGTTTGCCATGACCTTCACCAGGTCGTTGGACCACCTTGTGTGCCTACCTACGTTCCGTCTAACGGAATAAATAAGTTAATAAAGATAATTAATTAAAAAAGTATCAGCGACTTCAATTAGCCTACATCATGGTAAACAATAATAAACTGTCCTGTAATGACTGGGTTATTCATACCTACCTTATTTTCTACCCTTAGGGGTGTTATTAATTCTTCAAATTTGAGTGGGACCTAAGGGGACATATCTTTTTGCAAACTTAAAAAAACGAATGTTCCAAGTCGGTTTATAAACGAGTTTATAGACAGACTTCTGAGGTAATAAACAGGAAAAAACAAAAAAATCGAATCGATAACCTTTCCTTTTCTTGAAGTCGGTCAAAAATTTATCTAATCTATTTAAATGCCATTGTAAGTAAGTATAAGTAAGACAATCGAATTACTTTTTATTTATATTTATTTCGAATTCCAAACGGATACCACTTATAAAACAATTAAAAAGTATATAGGTATTCTATCAGTCAATCTAGCTTTCATAGTACAAGCTCTGCTTAGTTTGAAACTAGATGGCGTTGTTTGTCAGATGTCCGAAAATATTTTTATTTATTATTATTATTATTAGTTAGAATGATTTGGTTGGTCTATATAGTTTTAGTTGCACATAATCAGCTGAATCAAAATACTCTTTGACATGATGACATTATAACCAACAATATAAAGCAAAAAATATATTAAATACATTGATATATGTTTTAACTCAATGATTAAATATATTGAAAAGTAAGATCGTAGGTTTGTTTCCACCCAGGACCAATATTGTGTGTAATATTATTACCGCTTCGCTGTGGGATATTGTAGTTGCATTGATGAGAAATGAAGGATAAAACTGACACTAAAAATGGATAAAAACCATGTTTGAAATGTGTATTCAAATTCAAAATATCTTTATTTCATAAAAAACATGTTTGAAATCGTCTTTTATGTAGACTCTAAAGTCGTAGATCAACACAAACACACGCCACAATCTCTGTTTTGTCGAATAGTTATGAAAAAATATAAAATAAAAATTATGGTTATTTATACAAAATGTATGATATGCCTGTGCCGATCCACAGCCGCCGAGAAATGAAAATAGAGAGGCAAGCGCACGCAGTTTGCGGTGCAAGCGAATAGGTAACCAGTTTAATTGGGAACGCAAAGCAGACACATGGTCATTCATACTTACGAAGATTGAAAATGTTTCGAATGCAGTTATTGAGAAAACGATCTAGCTAATTAAGGTCTGCATCCAGGTCGAAATAACACACATCACCATAGTTAATTAGTTGAGTAACTAAAGTTATATGAGTGTTTAATAAGCCTCTGTCTCACAGTTATAACAGTTGATTGATAAAAATATTTCTTAAACAATACCTACGAGTACATCATTTTCATCAACAGCCGTTAAAACTCCACTGCTAGACTTATAGGCCTCTCCTTAGAAAGGACGTTTTGGTCTACTATTTGGCGTAGATATACATTCTTGCCTATTTTGTTAATTTTTTCTATTATGTTATCTATATCTATTAAATATATTACTAATTATTCTGTATTAGCTAATTTCGTGAAAATGCTATCCAAAGCATTCTTATGACTGTTTAAATAGCTCATTCTTGTTTTAATATTATTTTAAAAGAGTTGTTAAAATACCAAAATGATATTACAAAAAAAGAAATATCAGTGGTATTCGATTGTAAAATATGGTAGTGAAACGTATATGTAGTAATAAAGTTAACTATATCAATTTAATAATTCCTTCTAGGTATATCTTTTAAATCTCTTAGAAAAATTGGCATTTATCATTGAAAACACGAGAAAGCAAAACCAAACCCGACAGAGCTAGTTCAAATAATGCCTTCACTTCTATATAGACTGTCCACGCTACACAGGTCATTCGTTTTTTTTAAATCCACGGCGACTAACAGAAGAGGTTCTAAATTCAAATTTAGATTTTCTTTTTGTGTCTATGTTACGTTTATTGATTCTTTTTTTTTATTTAGAGATTCTAAGAAGTTTAAAACATCAAATTAAATATTTCATAAGATATTTTGCTCCATAGGTATGGGTATGTTTTCCCACGTTTGTTTGATTATTGTACATTTATCTAGTAATGGAAATGAAAGAACTTGTTATTTTCTTACTTTTAAGTGAAAATAAAAGGGATAAACACAATCAATAAGTCTGTTTTAAGCGGTTACGCTTCGCTTTATCTGTTGACGCCATCAGATAATCTTTAACTCATATCGGTTTTCAGTTTTTCTTTCTATATGGTCTGGCTGTTGCCACTTCATTTCGCTGATGATAGGATCTGCATATGTTCACTATTTCGGTTCTCCTCTAAATTTTTTTTGCAATAGGCAATGACAAATACGGGCAACTTGGTCTAGTGGTTAGTGACCTTAACTGTTTAGGCCGAGCTCGTGGGTTCAATTCCCACGCAGGACAAATAACTGTGTAATGACCACGATCATTTGTTTTGTATCTGGACATAATTTGTGTATAATATGTAGAAATATATAAGTATGCTTATCAGTAGGCTTGTTCCCAGTAAAGACTGCCTAGTTTGGGATTAGATGACCAAGTGTGAGCTGTGTGTTACTATTATTACTTTAGAATTTAACATTGATTAATTTGTTGCTGTTAGTCTATTGGTGAGTGATCCTAAACCTTACGCTAGAGGTTTTTCCCCGTCTATTTCTATCGCAGCCGATGCGAATAATTGCGCAATAAACACAATTTTTTTTGTTCTGTGTCCGAGTGTAATTTACCTATAATGTACATACTAAAAATAGAAAATACTATACACTAACTAAAAATAATAATGTATAGTACATATTTTATTTATCAGAAGTGCGGTTATTGTAGTATACGCACTGCCTGGTGTTTCAAATTATTAATATTGTAAGGAATAAAGGAATAGAGTGAAGTACGCCAATGGTGGTCTGTACCTAACTTCGCGGTGTGACGTCATTCGAATGAGACTATCGAATGACGAGTAGTATCGTGAAGCTCGGTCACTTTTGCTCGGGACCTCGCGGTGTGCGGACTGGTGCATCTCTGTGTCGTGTATCACGTAACTATAATAGATTACTTAGCCTTAATATTTCAATTATGTATTAGAGTTAAATAACCAGATAGTGTTTTCGTATTCTGTGTAACATTAAATTGTTTTTTTAATCAAATAAATCTGTTTTTGTTTACAATATTATAAATTTCTAAGGAATTGAGAAATACTCTTTGAAATAATAAATAGTCACAGTAGATTACTATTACCAAGCCTACTTATGAACAGCGATGAGGGAAACTATTCCTGGTAACACAGGGGAGGTGGAGTAAAAGGCACAGATAACTACTTGCTATCAAAAAAGCTAACTTGTATACCCCTTAAAAATCTTCAAATTCTTGTATCTTGAATCCTATGTTTCTGTCAGTTTATTTAGCTCTATAAACCACGTGTTAGCGGTCACGAGGTATCGCGTCTGACGTCATTAGATATGGCTGTTGTCATAACCAGGCGTTGACAGGTAAACAAGAACAAACTTCCTTAATATTTGTAAAAAAAATATCGTTTCAGATTTAAATAGATAGAAATTATTCAAAAATGTACTAGCTTCTACGGTTTTACATTGGGTACGGTTGAGTACAGCTGTTTCGGATAATCTAGCCGTAACGTAACGCCAACAACAGCATTCTGAAAGTCATTGCTACTAGGTTCGACTGCCCTATTCAAAAACTTTAGGTAAAGACGGTCATAGGTATAATATGAAATTAATTTAATGTAATGATACTAATAATAATAATAATATAATAATATTCTACCACATACACACGACGCCATCTAGTCCCAAACTAAGCAGAGCTTGTACTACGGGTACTAGACAACTGATATAAATACATATTTACTTTTTTTTTGTAAATACATACATATTATACATAGAAACACCCAGACCAAATCAAACATCAAATGTTCATGCACACAAATGTTTGACTTGAGCGGGAATCGAACCCGCGACCTTTGGAATAGCTGTCCGTTACAGAAACCACTACGCCATCCGGTCGTCGAAACTACTAATAATACTAACTTAATTATAAGCAAATTGTTACCAATACACTAACACTATGGACTGCATCACTACGGTCTGAAATAAATGATTACTATTATTAAACCTTCAGGATTCAAAAGTTCACGATGACCGATTGAGTTGTTACGCCAAGAAAACGTAACATACGATTAAAAAATTCGCAAACCAGAGGAATCATATCGTATCTTGGGGCCTTTCAGTGAGACCCAATCATTGAGTTAAACAACTAGAGAAGCAAACCTTATCACCACATGTCGAAAAAGTGTAATCACTATTGAACTGTGAGGACGTAGCTTTGATACCATCTCATTACCGTACCACGGTACAATTATAATACAGTAGTGTAACTCGACCGCATGATAGAAATAAATGCCTACAGCCGCGCGGTACGTAAACATGCGTTAGGGCTGCCCGTCTCCAGCATTTTAATTATATTTGCCTACTTTATGTTTCTATTTAGATTTGTGATTGTAAATATTTTATATAAATAAATGAAATACTTTGTATATTGGATAGGAAGTGTTCAATAAAAATGCGTGTTGTTTTTTGATTGGTAGATTTAATTAAAAAACATGTTTTTGTTTAAAAAACAAATCGGGCTTATAAATTTGCGACCGAAAAATATTTGCGCCTCAATATTTCCTCCATTTTTTCTATATATTCCACAAAATCATCGTTGGGTACAATCAAAATAGTTCGCGAATTAATCTTACTGTAGTCCCGGTACCGTACCATGATTCATTCAGAACCGCATAGAACTACCTTTTTTACTCGTCTCAATAACTTTCCGTTACTCTATTCGCTTTATTTATTAATCCAAACACCTTTTTTTCGTGAGATAAAAGGAAATACTTATCCATTAAAAAGACACACATTATGTACCTACCTACTAGTAAGTAAAATTATTTTATAGTCTTACCTTTCAGAGTTTCCAGGTAATTTAAAAAAACTTATGTCTGGATGCGTTATTGACGAATTCATACAACCAAAAACAGCACAATATTTCCTACTCGTCATATTAACTGTTTTTTAGAGAAAAAATCGCGCGGTTACTGTTAAAAAAACAACACACAGTCCGTTCGACACTGCGGTACAGCCGTGACTGTCTGCGCCCCGAGCGCACCCCGAGATCGAGGCGCGTAGGTATAGCTCGCGTTTCGTCCGTTTGTATGAAGTTGGAGTACTGTATTATAATAGTACCGTGACCGTACCGTCTCATTTACACGCGTTACAAGAACAATACCGTCGCTAGGATTAGACAAAGACAAAGACATAACTTTACGATGGCGGCCCAGTGTTGACTACTGTATGAAATTTTACCCATAACAACCGAGAAATAAAAGTTTTTAAAGCAATTTTGTACTAAAATAAATTAATTTAAATATTTTAAATAATGCATTTCTAATTGAATGGAATAGGTATAAATAAAAAAATAACTAGATTTTTTGTTACAATGGTTTTATCCTGTAAAATTATTATAAAATTGATGATTAATTACGAAAATACAATGAATTATTTCTTTTGTACAAAAGTCTCCAGTACTGCGAGCTAGGAAGTAGGTGAACGTTCAACCGGTTCCTAAAAAAGAGATCGATTCAGCCCTATCAACTACCCTTCTGGTCCGTTCTTACTACATTTTATTATTAGTGCCAAAATATTTAAAAACAGTACAAAGCATATTATTTCATTAATTACAAAATCTCCTACTGATGTGGGAAAACAAAAAAGAAGTTTTAATGGTAATACTGAATTGAATTACAATGATAATTTTTTAAATTAAATTATAGCCTGATTTATTTATTTTGTATTATGTTTTAACGTAATCGTATTTTCATTGTATGCATTTTGGTTTTGGTGAGAAAATAAACGATATTATTATTATTCCCTTCATTTATTTTATATACTTATTATTTACATTTTTAAACATACACTTTATGAAAAATTATAAAAAAAAAAAAATTAAAAATATAAAAAATAGTAGACCACCGACATCGGGTACAGGGACCAAGACACCGGTTTTTAGGACTCCAAAGATAGGAAACTCCTCACTATACGAGCCGTGTCAAGAAGGACTGCCTTCTGCATCAGACCCTTGATCCAGCCGTCCAACGTGAGCCTCTTAAGGTGTTGGTCGAGGCTCTTGGCTATCAATCCGTGAGCAGATACGACTATCGGAACAATGATCACTGAATCAACATTCCACATATCGACAATCTCGTGAGATAAATCCAAATATTTGATTTGTTTTTCTTTTTCAACTTTCACGAGATTCTCGTCATGAGGAACGGCGATATCAACAATCATTGCGCGGCGCTCTAATCGATCTATCAGCACAATATCAGGCTTATTGGCAACAATAGTCCTGTCTGTGATAATAGATCGATCCCAATACAATGTGGCCCGACCATTCTCGGGACTGGGTCGGGCACATACCTGTAGTATGGCACCTCTAGATTCACAAGATGGTATTTAAGGGCAAGCTGTTGGTGTACGATCCTGGCTACTTGGTTGTGCCTGTGCAAATATTCGCCATTAGCAAGACGAGAACAACCAGAAATAATATGCCTGATTGATTCGCCAGGACGGTGGCATGCCCGACAGATGTCAACCGTACCATCTTTCAGGATATATTTCCGATAGTTATTCGTCATGATAACTTCGTCCATAATCGCACAAACAAAACCTTCAGTTTCTCCGAAGAGATCACCATACCGTAGCCAAGTCGTAGATGCTTTTAAATCTATATCGGACCCGTTTAGGGCCGATACAACCGACCATGGAGCTCTTTGCCCTTCCATACTTCCCTGCTATCATTAACACTAAGTACTACAGGTCTGCGCCAATTCTCTTTAGCCAGAGCGAGCGGGGTGAATCCGGTATCCACTGCAACTACATTGCGATGCACTCCCACATCAGTATGTAGAAAATATTCTCTGAGATTGCATATCTCGCGATTATGTAGGGTCTTGATATTTAATAGGCCGCGACCCCCAAGCTTTCGCGGGATATACAATCTCATAACCGATGAACGTGGGTGGTGCATTCGGGATGCAGTCAGCAGTGTACGGACTTTCCTGTCAAGGGCATCTAATTCAGTCTGAGTCCATCTAAGTATACCAAAGGAATACATCAGAACCGGCATGACCCAACCATTGCAGGCTCGCACCTTGTTGCCCCCTGATAAAAGACTTTTAAGTACTTTTTCAAGCGGCCAAAAAAGCGTTCCTGCAATGTTTGTTTCATGTTAGATTCTGATATTCCCAACGACTGTGATATACTCAGATACTTGTAGGTTTCTGTGGCAGACAGAGATCTTCAGAGATCAGAGTTTTGTTGAATCTGAAAGCTCTATTCCTTCAGATTGAACTATCACACCCTTCTTTACATACATGACTGCACACTTGTCTACACCAAATTCCATTTTGATAGAATTACTAAAGTTTTCCGTCACCTTTAGTAACTTTGTCAATTGTAATTTGTTGGAGGCTAAAAGTTTCAAATCATCAATATAAAGAAGGTGAGATATCACTTGATCATCTTTCTGCAACCTATAGCCTAACCCTGAACCCTCTAATAAAGTGCTAAGAGGGTTCAAAGCCAGACAAAACCACAAGGGACTCAGACTATCACCTTGAAATATACCCCGCTCGATCTTTATTAGTACATCGTGTATCGCAGTCTGCCGACATCCTGGATAGCGAAGTGCTGTTTTTGCCTGCAGCCTTTAACAGTCCACTGCTGGACATAGGCCTCTCCTTAGAAAGGAGGCTTAATAATAAATAAATTAATAAAAAAAAGTTTGCTTAATGTAGCGTCATAGAACTAATTCAAGATTGCGATCCAAATAACACCTAATAATATTTTTAGATTGAAAATAAAAACACTAGTTTAGAAATAAATAAGAAGTGAAAGTAGAAATAGATATAATGCTAAAAGGTTGGTATCCAAATCATGTGAAATCTATTAAAAGACATGAACCTGGAACGCAATCCTGTTGTCACATATGACATCTCACTCAGTTTGACGTATCACAATATTCATCTATGCTTGCGATACATATCTTACAAAATTAATTAAAAATAGTGTTAGTGTAGTAATCAACCAAAATATGACTTAGATACAGTAAGCATACAGTGTGAAGTTAAGGTTGAAGTGAATATTATGTGACAAACTAAGTATACATACAATGGCACAGTTGGGTGATTGCGCAAATACAATGCTATTATTTTTTAGCGGCACGCCTGGTCTTACTGACTGTTCGTTTGGCGGCAGCTACTGGCTTCACCACATCATCACCAATAGCGTCCAGTTCACCAAGTGTTTTATGAGATGCCTTTTATCGCCAGGACCCGCAATGTGCATAATACCTTCTCGGGTCCAACATTTGGTTATACCAAACCTCTGAGCGACCCCAGTGCCCTTCAAGTTGGTTTTAGCAAACCATACAGAATCTATTAGCGAAATTTTACAAATATGAGCTTACTAGATGACGATGAGACCCGTCCCACCCTTGACTCCTTTTTATGCTATTTGTAGACCCTACTAGCCACCAATGCAATGTCTTTATTCTTCTCCTCGGCACACCATGAAGCAGTAGTATCTTTCTTCTGCTGTGCCATGTTGTATGCAGACTGAGCCAATATTTGTTCCGGCTGTTGAATGTTATTCAGAGCTTCAAGGACAAACTTTTTGAAAGTTGCAAACTGTTGCAAGTTTGGTTGGTGCTGCAGATGAGCTGGCTTCCTTTTGGAGCTTGTCTTTTGACTCAAATTCTGCCATGTGAGTGTTAAACATAACATTCATTTCAGCTATGGTTTTCTGTAAGGACTCCATGGTATTTGTATGGCATTTTAATTATAATTAAAAATAGAGCTTAAAGTTTTTGATCTGTACTTGAGAACTACCCTCAATTATTATTTTACAGTCTTTATTGGGTGGATTTTCTTCATCTTCGCTGTTTGAATAGTAAATAAATTTGTCTTTTTCGTAAGGGTCGGTTTTGAAAAATTATATTTTTAGCAGCATAACGCCTTCGTAATGTTCTTGATATAATCCCAAATTGTCAGAATATTTCATTGATCCCCTTGTCTTTTTTATCAATGTCATCAAAAGCTGACTGTAATTGTTCTGTAGTCCAAGAACATACTCGAGTCCGCACTCCATTCATTTCTTGTGTATTTTCTTGGAATGTTTCACCTACAATATATAGAAATTAATAAAAAACATGTACAACATTCTAATGCAACATAATATTTCAAAACACGCTAGCACTCAAGAATGAATAGGAATCCAAAATGCCTCAAAGAATATCAAAACCTACTGTCAGGAATTGATTGAAAAAAGAATTAAAAAGTAATACAGAACATAAAAAAATATTTAAAAAATACTCTGACACATGTATAGGTGCACAGTCACATTTTAAAATATGTTAACTGTTGATATTTATGGGTTAACAAGCAATAAAAGCACTGAATACACAAGATGTGTTTTATTGTATAAGATATGTAGAGCTTATACAATGGCGGTGCAAGTAATCATTTGACATATATAATGCAGGGGTTCACACAGTGAATAAAAGGATGGCGCCACAAGCGCGGGAAAATTTAAAATAAAATATTGTAATATTAAAAAAAATTTTTTTTTTTTGTGTTTTAATGTAATGTAATGTGTCTATGTTCATATAAATGAATAAACTAACTGGTGCGGCACCACAAATTCTAACAAAACTAAAATCTCGGACGCCAGGTGCCTTAACTCTAAATGCACACAGACAACTACAGTAGGCCCTCGTTAATCCGGAGAGGCAAAAACAAGACCCTTTCCGGATTATCGAGGCGTCCGGATTATAGTATGCCATATTAAATGTTAACAAAACACATGTTTAACCTTCGTTTCTTTAACACGTTGAACGCTGTATGAAAAATTGAGATTTTCCATTCAGGCCCCAGGGCTCACCGGTGAGCCTTTCCTTACTGTACCGTTCGAGCCACGTAGGTCATCCGTGAGCCGCATGACATGTCTAACGAAAACGCTACCGACAAGCCACGGATTGCAGTTAGCAAACAAAACGTCCATAGAAATGAGCCGCGAGGCCCTGTAGCGTAACCGGGCGGCGTGGTTTTCAAATCCTGTGAATACTTGTAAGTTTTTTTCAAGGTTATCGTAAGATGCAAGGTTCGTCTTACGATTCAGTTGAAATTGTTATTTTAATTATGGAGTGTGAATCAAACCAATAAATAATTGTGAATATTTTTATTGAAATTATAAAGTACATAATATTTTCTTCTTTAAGAAATAAAAATCTCGCATCACGATTCATATAAAAATCTCGTTTACAACGTTTTATATTAAAATATTTATAAAGTCAACAATCACATTTATGGCACTTCTTTATATTGTCACATCAATATCCTTATATTAGTCAGTCATAAGTCTTAATTATAATAAAAAATCAATGATGAATCTTATTAAAACAAGGTAAGCAAAGGGAAGGTTTTGCTGGATAGTTTTGGCAGTAAGTAGATACCTTTTTCGTCTTTGTTTTAGCCTGTTTGCTGCCCATGACTGGCACATTTTCTGCGTAACATTGGCGACATGTTCTATGTTCTAACTTTGCTAGCTAATCCCTCTTTCTTCTTCAAGACGTGTTTGATTCTCTTTGGTCTTTCTACAGGCGCAGTATTTTCTTGCACTCCACAAATATTCATCATTATAAATCTTCTGAAATCCACCATTTGTATATTTCTTTTAGTCAGTATTTGTACAGAGTCAGAGCATTTACCATTGCTGTATTAAGTAATAGATCAATGGCTAACTTTTTATGCCACTTTACGGATTTTCGCAATGGCGACGAGTATGCAGACATCTGATCTGACAAATCCACAGCTCCTTTGGCTTTGTTGTAGTCGACAATGATCTGCGGTTTCATGACTACTTTACCCTGACGCTTTCTTATTTTTGCAAATCGATCTGAGTGCTTGGTTGATAAAACCAACACTTCTCTTTTGTCCCTCCATTTCATTGCAGTAATACCATCACGACTTTCCCTAGCAACGTATTCTCCTTTTTTGAGTTTAGTACTTACGACAGTTTTTGGTAGGTGCCTTCTATTTTTTCTGATTGTTCCCACTAAATGAGTTTCGTTATCAAGTAAAGTCCTCGCTAATTCGATACTCGTATACCAATTATCAGTATAAAGAGTGTGGCCTTTATTTATGAGACCGCTAAGCAAATGCATGACTACACTATGAGGAGTGGTATTTGTTGTTTCGTAATTTTTGCCAGCATAAATACTTATTCTATACGTGTATCCAGGAACACAGCATAATTTGAATTCTTTAATGCCGTATTTGTGGCGTTTTTGTTTGTTGTATTGTCGAAATATAATCCTGCCACGAAACGGGACAACACTTTCATCTATACATAGGTCTTCGCCGGGTGTATAATACATCTGAAATTGTTCATTTAAGACATGCAAAAGGTAGCGAATACGATGAAGGCGGTCTTCTTTGTTTATCTTGTCGTTTAGTGAAAAATGAAGCATCTGTAATAACAATTCAAATCTATTTCGCGACATTATGGTGCGTGGGAACGGATGACCTATGATAACATTAGTTGACCAATAGTCCGCCAACCTGGGAAGCTTTGTTATACCCATGAACAGAATTAATCCAAAAAATTTTTTCATTTCAATAAGATCTGTAGGTATCCATTTGCGAAGCCTCGCAAAGCGTGCAGCTTCTCCTGAATCTACAATTTTGTTAATTGCGAATTGGTTAGTTCGGTCAGCAATTTCGTTAAAAAGGCTGTCAGGTACCATTAGTTGGAAAAAGTCAGTTGGAGACGCATTTCGCATATTTACGCAAACGTTAGTGGGTAAGCCAGGTAATTCAGTAAATGGTATTATTTTCCGTTGATTACCTTTGACCTCTGACCAGATGTCCGATGGCGCAGTGTTACCTGTAAAAAAAATAGACCAACATAGTACCTAATACATACCATCAAGATCGGTTCAGTGGTTTAGGCCTGAAAGCGTAACAGACAGACAGACAGACATACAGTAGGTACAGACAGACAGACTATTTTTTTTATTTGAAAGGACTTAGTCAGATATAACATCTCACCTATCTATTTTCAATTGGAGGGGGTGAGCGTCCAAGACGGGACTTGAACCCGTAATCAGTCCCTTACAGGGGAATACTCTGACCACTGAGCTACTCGGACACGTCTTAAACATTCGAAAATCTCCAATCCAATCTCCAATCTCCAAAGTCCCGTCTTGGACGTTCACTTTTTCCAATCGAAAATAGATAGGAATAGTTAGCATACTAATTGCTGTAAAATTTCATTACATTAAAATCTCAAGTTTGTTTCATCGTAATCGGTTCAGTAGAACTGGAAATATGGCCAAAAAACGAAAATTTACATCCACTTGGGCAATGCCGCGGGCGGAAGGCTAGTAAAACATTAAAGTGACTCACCAACAGTATCGGCAATAACCCTTGAGATTTCATCGTCGCTATTCTCACTCTCTGACAGAATAATTCGGCGACTTGGTTGAACATCTGCATCGGTATCTACTTCAAAACTATGGTTCAGAAGATTTATTTCAATATTCTCCAAGTGTAATATATCCTCTTGTGTTAACTCGAACTTTTCAAATTCATCCATATTTGCATTCAAAATATTACGCAACACAACTTATTGACGATACTGACCAGCCGAAGTTGATCGTATTCACTGCTTTCGCAGCGGACGAATCGCGCGCGGGCGGGTGGGCCGCGGAGTCACCCCGCGGCCCCCGCCAACGGAAAAATTGATATTCCTTTGTAAGAGGCCACAGGACCCACATGTGAGCCTTTTGCTATATCACTAAAGGTAGAAGTCGTTAATTTTTATTTTCTATTCAAATTATGGCATTTTATAGCCTTTGGAATGAAAATAAGCAGTTGTAAAAAATAGATTTCATGATTTTGGCATGGCTCAATCGGAACATTACGCTGGGCTCATCGGTGGGCCGTATGGCGTTCAACGTGTTAATCAATTTTTAAATTATAGCATATAGACAAAATGTACATGTTCAAAATTACAACTATGTAAGGAAATCAGTAAGTTAAAATAAAACATTAGTTAATTCTTCTTGAAAAAGTCTGTAATACTCTTCTGTTTATAATTTTCGCACTTCATTTCGAAAGCCCGGTCTCTAAGTCGACGGAGAAACATAACTTCGTGGCTATCAAATTCGTTATCTTCAGCCCATTTTAAAGCAGTGTTTAAAGCTCCTACTGCCTCTGAATTACCAACTTTGTGATTTTTAGAATTTCAACGCTATTGTCCTCATCTTCCTCATCGTCCTCACACATAGCCGCTCGCACAATCTACTCATCAGTTAACACTTCATATCTTTGTAACTCGCTTTCGGCACCACCAGCAGCCCATTCTTGAGCTTCTGCCTCACTTATTTGAGGATCATTGGGTCCCCTCAACCTGTTAAAAAGCTGGGCTAAAGGAACATCATCTTCTGGTTCGTCATTATCAGTGAGAAATTCAGGGTGCAAATTCTTCCATGATTTGTTAATTAGCGATGTCTTAACATTGGCCCAGCAATTAGCCAAAATAAAAACTTTGTCCTTTAAAGTTATCGATTTTAATGAGTCCATGAGGTTTTCAGAACATAATGCAAGACAGTTAACCAAAAGTGATTTGCGGTAATTTAACTTCACATTTTGTAAAACGTTCCGTGGTGTTAGGTGGCAGGAACATTGCAAAAATGTGGCCGTCTTCAGAGACAAGTTCATCTGCTGATGGATGCCCAGGACAATTATCCAACAATAACAGTGCCTGAGGAGGCAAATTAACAGACAAAAGACCCCGGCGGACCGTGGGCACGAATTCCGTTTTAAACCACTCAAGAAACAAGTCTTTCGTAACCCAAGCATTTTTTTGTGCACGATAACAAACAGGAAGACGTGTTGATTTAAATGCCCGTGGGTTTTTTGATTTTCCGACAACAAGCAATTGAAGTTTATGAGTTCCAGCCGCATTTGCACAAGGCATGAATGTCACTCTCATCTTCATCATTTTCCTTCCGGAAGCCGACTGCTCATTGCCAGAGGCTAATGTATGATCTGGCAATAATCGCCAGTACAAACCAGATTCGTCAGCATTGTAAACCTGTTCCGCTGTTAATTTTTTTTCTCTAATAACTTTCTGTAACTCTAGTTGGAATGGTCCGATAGCGGCTTCATCATTTGACAGTTTTTCACCGGCCATTTTTAAACGTCTTATTCCGTGGCGTTTTTTTAAATTTATCTAACCATCCCCGGCTTGCATTAAATCCGATATTGGAGTTTGTAATCTGGCGATGAAAAATTCGAGCTTTCTCACAAATGATATCACCACTTACAGGAACTGCAATCGCCTTTGTTGCAAAAACCACGTAAACAAAGCATCTTCTAAAACAGGATTTTCCGATTTCTTCAGTGTTTTTCGTACACCGGGACCACGTTCTGTTAGGCTAACAAACTTCAAGAGTTTGTCTTTGTTTTTCTTTATGTCGCCTACAGTTGACCTGCCTATACTAAATTTCCGAGCAATGACAGGGTAGCTGTCACCCTTATCTAACATTTCTATAATACGTAATTTGTCTTTTATTGTTAATGTCGAATGTTTACGTGGCGGCGCCATGATGTTAGCGAGCGCACTTAATTGACTCTACGTATTACACGAAAGGCGATAAACAAAAGACTGACGGCGCATTGGCTCATGACAGCCCCCGCACCTACACGCCGCCGGGCGTCCCCCGCGAATCCCATTGCCCGGCCGGATTACAGCGATCACCGAACAAGCGAGAGTCCGGATTACCGAGGCCCTACTGTAATAACAAATATAATAATTACCTGGAACAGCTCGGTCAGCAGACCTTTAATCTAGGATGGGGGGCAGCTATTAAATAAAGAGATGTTATAAGCTTAAGTGGCAGTTTATTATCCCGTAGTGTCTGTAGAGTACATGGTATATTATAGGTCTAATTACAAATGTAGTTCTTATACTCAAATTAGTGCTGTCATTAATGCAATTCGTTTACCTTGTTAATACAACTTAAAAGTAAATATTTTTAAAAAGTCACATGAAGACTGTTAAATAGGTAAAGATTTAAGGGTAGTTGTCATAACGACCTACTCCCATAGTAAAAAAACCACCCCTTAGAGCCTGCAGTATCCGTATGACAACGCCGACAAAATTAATACAACAAAAAACGTACCCAATGACTTTGGCTCTGTCCGTTTGAAATTAGGGTATAATTAATTCTTATAAATCTCACTCGTGCTCCCACGTGGTTGTAGTGGGGGGTAAGTATTCCAAGCGTCCTGGCTCCGGTCCCAGGCAGATCCTGATAATGGGCTTTTCCTGCCATTAGCGGTACTTAAGAAGGGAAATCCACACTCCGGAGCGAACTAAATCCTTGGATCGGGCAGATAGTGAGGTAAAAACCAATTGTAACGTAAGGACATTACAATCTGCTAAGAAGGAAACCCAAACTAATAATATAAAAAAAAACCCTGTTTGACACTGCAACAACGAAAATTATAGGTTAATTGCCTATCTCCAAAGATGAAATCTAAGTCGGGTAAGATACAATAATTTACTCACCAGGGTTCCAAATCGTCTCACAAATAAATCAGAGGCGTTACCAATAATGCCTGTAACCAAATAAACAAAGATTTAAAACAACTTATCTCCATAAGCCAAGTACGAACACGTGGCGGAACACAACTTACCAAAAAAGCAAACTAATATTTCCAATAAAAAACTCGGTTGCTCAACAAGACTGGCCAACAATAAGAAATGAATTAATCCTCTGATTATAACAAATTGAAACGGATTACAATTGTAAAAAAAAAAAAATTGCTCGACCCTCCTTGGGCAGGCGCCAAAAGTGACCAACCCATGTTGCCAGAACTAAAGTTCCGTTTTGACCTAGAATGCGACAAAAAATGTTGCCAGAACGAGAAAAAACTAAAATCGAAAGTATACCATAGTCGATTAGGACAGACTAACAGATCTCGTCCGTGACGCCGTCTATCGGAGCTTACTGAAACGTCAGAAACTTCAACTGTCAAACTAAAAACACGTCGATAATTAAATTTTCTGTAATGGTGCGAAATGCACCGTTACATTACATACCTTCCCAAAAAAAGGACTCTTTCTTTTATGCCGAAAAGTCAATACCCAAACAAAATATACAATAAACAAAAAGATCTGACAACATCTAAACTCCAAAATTAACTCTACATAAATCCCTACAAAACTCCAAAATCGACTCTACATAAATCCCTACAAAACTCCAAAATCGACTCTACAAAAACTTCACGAAAACTCTACAGACTCCAAGAATACAAAAATCCAAACCCAAAAGAAGGACTATAAAAACCAAATACACAATCAAAAGCTCTACAAACAAAATCACACAAACTCACAAAACAAATCCCCAAACGAAACAACCATTAGGAATTGAATATCTAACAAAGACAACAACTTCCAAGAAGTGCGGTTGGACACCTTCGTCACCGACTCTAATGGAGCTATAAAACTGTACAAAACAAACCCCAGACAACAACAAAATAAACCTCACAAAACAACATCCATTAGGAATTGAATATCTAATTAAGATAACAATATTCAAGGAGTGCGGTTGGACACCTTCGTCACCGAATCTAATGGAGCTATAAAACTGTACAAAACAAACACAAAACAACTTCCATTAGGAATTGAATATCTAACAAAGACAACAACTTCCAAGGAGTGCGGTTGGACACCTTCGTCACCGACTCTAATGGAGCTATAAAACTGTACAAAACAAACCCCAGACAACAACAAAATAAACCTCACAAAACAACATCCATTAGGAATTGAATATCTAATTAAGATAACAATATTCAAGGAGTGCGGTTGGACACCTTCGTCACCGAATCTAATGGAGCTATAAAACTGTACAAAACAAACACAAAACAACTTCCATTAGGAATTGAATATCTAACAAAGACAACAACTTCCAAGGAGTGCGGTTGGACACCTTCGTCACCGACTCTAATGGAGCTATAAAACTGTACAAAACAAACCCCAGACAACAAAAAAATAAACCTCACAAAACAACATCCATTAGGAATTGAATATCTAATTAAGATAACAATATCCAAGGAGTGCGGTTGGACACCTTCGTCACCGACTCTAATGGAGCTATAAAACTGTACAAAACAAACACAAAACAACTTCCATTAGGAATTGAATCTATACTAATATTATAAAGCTGAAGAGTTTGTTTGTTTGTTTGTTTGTTTGAACGCGCTAATCTTAGGAACTACTGGTCCGATTTGAAAAATTATTTCAGTGTTAGATAGCCCATTTATCGAGGAAGGCTATAGGCTATATATCATCACGCTAAGACCAATAGGAGCGGAGCACCAATGAAGAATGTTTCAAAAACGGAGAAAATTTATTACTATTGAGAGACGCAGACGAAGTTGCGCGGGTCAGCTAGTATCTAATAAAGATAACAATATTCAAGGAGTGCGGTTGGACACCTTCGTCACCGACTCTAATGGAGTTACAAAAAATGCTTCACCCTAAAATTGGCAAAACAAAAACACATTCTTAAAAATGCGAAAAAGGTTTATATATTCGACACAACAAGGCGGTGCGAATATACAAAAACCTGTGTATTGTGATCGGATCCACACCACCGAACTACCGGGCACAATACAACAAATGTCAAACCAGAATATTCAACACAACAAGGCGGTGCGAATATATAAAAAACCTGTGTATTGTGATCGGCTCAACACCACCGAACTACCGGGCAAAATACAACAGAAGGCAAACAAAATATTCAACACAACAAGGCGGTGTGAATACATAAAAAACCTGTGTATTGTGATCGGCTCAACATCACCGAACTACCGGGCACAATACAACAGAAAGCAAACAAAATATTCAACACAATAAGGCGGTGTGAATATATAAAAAAACCTGTGTATTGTGATCGGCTCAACACCACCGAACTACCGGGCACAATACAACAAATGTCAAACCAGAATATTCAACACAACAAGGCGGTGCGAATATATAAAAAACCTGTGTATTGTGATCGGCTCAACACCACCGAACTACCGGGCAAAATACAACAGAAGGCAAACAAAATATTCAACACAACAAGGCGGTGTGAATATATAAAAAACCTGTGTATTGTGATCGGCTCAACATCACCGAACTACCGGGCACAATACAACAGAAAGCAAACAAAATATTCGACACTTGGAAAAAAGCGTGAATCCAACAAACAAACCATTCAACCCTTTGAAAGAGGGTGAATATAATTTCAACAAAACACTTAACACTGGGTAAAAGTGCGAATATAATACAAACCAAATATTCTTTCGATGTTGTTCCTATTATGAATGAAGTTCCTAAATTAATAAACCAAAATGACCTAAGTAAACTTTTGAACCTTTAAAACCTAAAGTTAATATATTGTCATGAATACCTCACACTACATCAACATACAAAGCGCAATATCCTAGCATACATCAATCTACATACTTCCTCACACAAAAGCGCAATCCAACAAATATATCAAATTAAGACCAAAAGTTAATGACCA